AAAGAGGAAACAGGTCATGGGTCGAGGTAGTGCCTGGGAGGGAAGTAAGTGAAACAGGTCATGGGTCAAGGTAGTGCCTGGGAGGGAAGTAAGTGAAACAGGTCATGGGTCGAGGTAGTGCCTGGGAGGGAAGTAAGAGAAACAGGTCATGGGTCGAGGTAGTGCCTGGGAGGGAAGTAAGTGAAACAGGTCATGGGTCAAGGTAGTGCCTGGGTGAAGTAGTAGTGCCAGAGGTCGTAGGAAGTGGTGTTATGGGCAGAGAGATGAATAGCATGTAAAAGATTGAGGACTGTAAGATTACCCGCCCCGGCTCAGCAAGGTGGTAAGTAAGTCAGTCAGTCAGTCAGTTGGTAAATTAGTAAGGAGTGACCTTCGATTAGCTCAGCGCGGCCCTTGGTAACCTGGGAGTCAGTGTGTCACTCTCCCTCTCCCTCCATTCCCCCTCCCTCCTTTTCTCCCTCCTCCCCTCCCTCTACTTCTCATTGATAACCACTTTCTCCCCCCTCCCCTCCCCTCCCTCTATCCTCTCCTCTCCTGCACTCCGTTTTCTGTTTGGGTAGAGAGGCAAGGTGGGGGGAGACTCTTGCATGGCTGGTGTTGACGTTTCAGCTCTTTCATTAGGTGGGTTAGTTAATTAAGCCATGTCAAGGCTCACCCTACCACAAGGGGGGTTTGAAGTGTGTGTGTGAGAGGGGGGGGGAGGGGGCGCCATCACTCGACTTTTTAGCTACCAAGGTGGAGGAGGTATCGCCCAACACGGGTTCAAAATTAGTGTACAGTATTTTAGATGGGGGTTATGGTATGGGGAAATTTATTACCTTGTGTTGAATATGTGAATAGATGTACATATCATTTACAGTTTGTGTTACATATTTGCCGTTGTGTTTGATTTATGCTGCTGTTTCATAATTTCTTTTGTATTTAACAGTACTCCATTTTGCGTGTTGTGTGTGTGAGAGAGAGAGAGAGAGAGAGAGAGAGAATGGGATTTTGCCACGTATAGCTTCTTGTTTATTATACACCCCATACTCAGTGTGGGGGGGTTAATGTTTTTCACGTGGTCGTGTTGGTGTTTGGTTTCGTTTACTTTTGGTTGAATTAAACAGTGTGACAGTCTGGCTTTTATCTTGAGCTGCCAAGAGTGGTGGTTGCCGCTCACTGCGCATAGGTCCTGCCGTGGATTAGTGATTTGTGCATTCCGTTTTAAATATGCGCAGACTGACCTAGGTGAATGCGCTTGCTGACTTGCGGTCGACGTGGTCTCTCGGTGGGACGTGCATTCCGTATACCGTACATATGGACAGGCTGGTCTGGCTGCTCGGAGGAGAAAGAAGAGAAAACAGGAAGAGGAGGAAAAGGGGATGAAAACGAGGATGAAATGGAAAGATGAAGAGGAGTGGGTAAAGGAAGAAGAGGGCGAAGAGGAGGAGGAAAAGGAAGAGGAGCAGGAGGAGGGAAATTCTCGTCACCTGGCACGTCAACAAGTGGCAGTGACACGAGCAGTAAATGTTTACTGGACAGTGACAGCCACATGGAGACCACGTGGGAGGGATGACGTCATATGTTTACAAACACTTCACCACGTGGGAGCCTTAGATGTGCCTGGTATGTTGTGGTTACTCAGCTGATGCGGAATGCCTGGAGTGAAGCGTCAGTTATCAGCTGATTTCGTGCACGTGAGCGGATTATGATGATCAGATGTGCCAGCTGTTGAGGATGTGAGTACATCTTTGCACGCGATGAGGGATTGAATTGTGTTTTATTATTGACATGTAAGTATTGGTATGTTTTTGTACGTAACCCTGAATTACTATAACGCTATTGTGTTTCATACTGAGTAATTAGTTGGTGCAAATAGAATGCCTTTGTTATCAGAGGCGACGGTCGTTGTGTTTGAAATTGTAATACATTAATTATAATTTATTAAAAATCATGCATTTAAGCCTGAAAAATAAATTTGCTTAAAAAAAGGAAATATATTTGTAATACTTCAACAAATTTGGATACTAAAAATACGGATATTTTTATTGAGAGCCAAATAAATTCTCGAAATACTGTATTGTTCATTAAATACTAATTGTTAACTTACTTTCAATAATTATAAAGTAGTTTTAATCTAATTATGACTTTTTATCTCCTTATTATATCGTTTCCTATTAACTGCTAATTATAATACGTCGTTTCTCTAGTCATATAACTTTTCTTCCTCTAATCTGCCCTTGGAGGATAATGAAACAAAGCTGTACAAGAATAGATCACAATTAACATAAAACCTCTAGAAAAATAATCCGCTCTTCCGTGAAAAAGTCCATCAGGCTGGTCAAATAAACGTGAGGCAGTGAACCGACTTATCACATCCATAAAAGTTATACAGTATTACTTGCTACGTAAACACCTCCAGAGTGACATATTTACCGGGTTTAAACTGCTACGTAAACACATATAGAGTGATATATTTACTGGGTTTAGGTACGTAAACGCATTCAGTGATATATTTACCGGGTTTAAAGACTTACGTAAATACCTTTAGAGTGACTTATTTACCGGGTTTAAACTGGTACGTAAATACCTTCAGAGTGAATTATTTACCGGGAATAAATGTTGCAGATGGCTGGCTCAAGATTGCAATCAGTGGCAATAAATACATTGGTAATCCCAGGTGCAACGCTGACATGGTGGTGATAGTGGGTGGGGGAGTGATGGAGGGAAATGGTAAATGGAGGAGGGAGAGGAGGAAGACGAAGAGAATAAGGAATTGATGGAGAGAGAGAGAAGAGTAAGGTAAATATAGAATGAATGGATGTGTTGTAGAAAGGGAAGCGTGGCAGGGTGACAAATAGGGAGGGGGAGGGAGGGTGACAGACAGAGAGGGAGGTTACCAGGGAGGGGGGGGGAATGAGGAAGAGAGTAAGGGTGACGAGGGAGGGAAGGAGGGCGTGTCGTGTGGGTGAGTCGTCAAATAGTGTGGCGCCAGGGGGTGGAGGGCGCCTCTTAATAATTCATATGACGGAACACCACAGCCCCACCCTTCCTCCTTGCACCCTCTCTTCCTCCCATACCATACTTCTTGTCTTCTCTTTTCCTGCTTTCCTGTCTACCTACCGCACTTTCTTCCTGTCCCCCTCCCGTCTGTTACTGGTGTTACTGACTGTCACAACTGCTGTTACCAAGATCGTGAAGGTCATGATTTGAATTATTTACTGAAGGAAGGCGGCGAAGTTCGTTTGGTGGCTCTTGCTGTTGTCATTATTGCAGGTGTTGTCAATGCTGTAGGTGTTGTCATTGTTGCAGGTGTCGTCAGGTGTTGTCAATGCTGCAGGTGTTGTCATTATTGCAGGTGTTGTCATGATGTAGGTGTTGTCATTGATGTAGGTGTTGTCAATGCTGCAGGTGTTGTCAATGCTGCAGGTGTTGTCAATGCTGTAGGTGTTGTCATTGATGTAGGTGTTGTCATTGATGTAGGTGTTGTCATTGTTGCAGGTGTTGTCATTATTGCAGGTGTTGGCATTGCTGTCAGGATTGTAGGCTATATGTCATGGCTAGTCTCAATCACCTCTGCCTATGCCTACCATTCCCACCTACCATTCCCACCTACCATTCCCACCTACCATTCCCGCCTACCCTTACCGCCTACCCTTACCGCCTACCCTTACCACCTACCCTTACCACCCACCATTACCGCGTACCATTCCCACCTACCATTACCGCCTACCCTTACAACCTACCATTACCGCCTACCATGGCAGTCAGTCCTCACCGCCTATATCATTCCTACGAAATTTCTGGACAGTCGCTTTTGTCTTCTAATAAACTCGATTCAAACTGCGAACTTGTGAGAGTATGCAAATTAACACCACACGATTTATCTTTTTTTTTAAATTTAATTTAATTTAAATTTTAAGTGTTTTATTAAGTTTTTATTATTAATTGTTACAGGTTAAATTTCAATTAGTTTATTTTTTATTACGGTGAATCTAATTACTGTGCATATTAAAGAACATAATTTTAGAATATCTTGTTGGTGAAGATATGAGAATAAACCTGTCTTGTTAATACGAGTTTGTTTTGAATATTTATATGTGTTTGTATGTTTTCTAATGTTTGTTTTTATAATTTGTAGTTTTATTACCTTACTAATAGCCAAATTAACATTGTGTTGTGACAGTCGTATCTAAAGCATGCTGGTACCATATTTTCACCAGTATGAAGTCCCCTGTATAAAATATTTGTATATATATTAAAACACTAATTGGGTACACATTTTCCATGTATATTGTTGACAGAAAACCCCGTCTAGGATTGGAATATAGACAGTGATCCAAGGTGCTGTTCGAGGCATTTCTAATCCTGGAAGGGAGTCCTTTTTATAACATGACAAAATACACCCTGTATATATATATATAATGGTGTTGTATATCATGCTTTTCTATATACTGTATATATATATATGCCTTACATTGCCTCCTCCTGTATGTGTGTGTATGTGTTGGCTCCTGTCAGGGCGTCTTCAGTGTATATATGATGTGCATGTAAGTTATGTGCGAATCTCTCTCTCTCTCTCTCTCTCTCTCTCTCTCCATTATCCTCACTACCTCTCTTCACTGTTGTCCTTCTCGGCTCCTTTCTTCAACCCAGTTATCTTCCATCACTTATTTCTTCATTTCCTTCCTTCACTTCCCCTTATCTCGCACCTACACCCCCTCCTCATAATTCTCCTTTTCTCCCTCTCCTCTCCTCTCTTTCCTCACCACTTCCTCCCCTCACTTCCCATTTTCTCTCCTTTCCTTCTCCTCCTCCTCCTCCTCCTCCTCCCACTCCTTTCTCACCACCTCTTCCCTCATGTCCTCCTGTTCTGCCCCCTTCCTTCCCTTCTACACTCCCTCCTTCTCTCCCTCCCTCCTTCCCTCACCTCTTCCTTCTTCCCTCCCTCCCTCCCTGCCTCCCACCGCATGGCCGTGTACAAAGGCTAGTGTCTAATGTCTGTCTCTCGCCCCGTGCAGCCCAGATTACGGAAGAGACCAAGGCACTTCCTCCATCTTCGTATCCAGAGAACGGTGAGTCGAGGTGTGCTAGTAGTCGTAGTAGTAGTAGTAGTAGTAGTGGTAGTTGTCGTAGTAGTAGTGATTGTGGTGATCATGTATACAATAGTGGTAGTGATAGTAAAAGTATAGTGGAAATATTGTTTTTGTGTGTTTAGTAATGTTTTTTGCACTAATAAAGTAGATAATGTTTATTGTACCACTGTCATTGTCACCACCACTGTCATTGTCACCACCACTGTCATTGTCAACACCACTGTCATTGTCAACACCACCATCATTACCAACACCACTGCCATTACCAACACCATTATCATTGCCAACATCCTGAGGTGTACAAGGATGAACAGGGGGAGATTATTATGGGCCGTTAGTGGCTGTTTGGTCTACGAGGTGGAGTCTGGGGGTGCAGTGAAGAGCCCAAGGAGAGGTCGGGTCGGTGGCGCGAGTGAAAGAAGTCTCTCAGTTAGTTTGTTAGTTTGATAGGTACGTAGGCAGTTAGTTAGATAGTTAGTTAGATAGATAGTTAGATAGATAGATAGATAGTATGTTTTTTGTTAGTTAATTAGATAGATACTGTAGATAGGTAGATAATGTGTTTTTTGTTAGATAGATTGATAGAGAGTTTGTTTTTGTTAGCTTGTTAATTAGTTTTGTTTGTTTAAGGAGTTTGTTAATTGATTAGTTTGTTTGTTAGTTATTTAATTAGTCTTGTTTAATTAAGTCAGTGAAGTCTCAGTCAGCCTATTGCAGTCTAGTCACTAAGTCAGTCAGTCAGTCAGTTAGTTAACCAAAGCAGTATAGTCCGTTAGTCAAGTTATCCAGTCAGTTAATCCAGCCCAGTCAGTGAATCAATCTAACTCAATCAGTCTCGTACAATCAGTTGAGTAAATCAGTCAGCCATTCAATCCAGTCAAATCCACTCTAGGCCACCCCAGCCCAGTCAGTCAATCAATACAATCAACCAATTCAATCAGTCCATTCAGTCAGTTAGTCAGTCAAGGTAGACACACACACACACGCACACACACTAACACCACCCCACCGCGACTCTATTTAAGTTACTCTGGGAATACCTTTTACGCATATAGTGAATCCCACGATAAGATAACAGCCGATAACACAACGATAACAGAGAGATAGAGTAGTGACGCGTTATCATGGGGTGTTATTTTTTCACATTCCTTTCGTTTGTTATCTCCTTGACCTCTTTAGTACAATGCTAACCAAATCCTCCCTCACCCTACAGTCTGCTTCCTGCTCTCTCTCTCTCTCTACCTCATCTTTCCCTCTCCCCTGCCTCCCATTCTCCTCCTCCTCATTGAGTGCAGAGAATGAGTCCATTGTTGGTGGTTTTAATAATTTTTTTCAGTACGATAGCTTAATTTTCTTGAGTATGGCGTTTTAATAATCTTGAGTACGATGTTTTACCCCCCGAGTACGATGCCATAACCCCAATTTGGGTATTATGTCTTAACCCCCTTGAGTACAATGTCTTAACCCCTTGAGTACAATGTCTTAACCCCTTGAGTACAATGTGTTAAGCTCTTAATCCCTTGAGTATAATGTCTTAACCCCTTAAGTACAATGTCATAACCTCTTAACCCCTTGAGTTCGATGACATACTCTCGAGTACAATGTTGATGTACTCACATACTTTAAATCATCTTACTCAAGGGTTAATCTAATCATAGAAAAAATGATTAGGGAAAAGTATATTAATTTTTATTTATTTATTTATTTTTTTCAATTCTTTGGATGTTTTACCGATAAAACACACACACAAGGTCATTTGAAAAGACTTCCCCTTACTTGAGTCAGTATGTAAACAATAACAATAGGTACATAGGGGGCGCTGAGGTTGTCTTACAGGCTAGTTGACATATAACTGACAGGTATGGCTGTTATATGGCTGACAGGTGTGACTGATATATAGCTGACAGGTGTGACTGATATATGGCTGACAGGTGTGACTGATATGTGGCTGACAGGTGTGATTGATATGACTGACAGGTGTGACTGATATATGGCTGACAGGTGTGACTGATATATGGCTGACAGGTGTGATTGATATGACTGACAGGTGTGACTGATATATGGCTGACAGGTGTGACTGATATATGGCTGACAGGTGTGACTGATATATGGCTGACAGGTGTGACTGATATGTGGCTGACAGGTGTGATTGATATGACTGACAGGTGTGACTGATATATGGCTGACAGGTGTGACTGATATATGGCTGACAGGTGTGATTGATATGACTGACAGGTGTGACTGATATATGGCTGACAGGTGTGACTGATATATGGCTGACAGGTGTGACTGATATATGGCTGACAGGTGTGACTGATATGTGGCTGACAGGTGTGATTGATATGACTGACAGGTGTGACTGATATATGGCTGACAGGTGTGACTGATATATGGCTGACAGGTGTGACTGATATGACTGACAGGTGTGACTGATGACTGATATATAGCTGACAGGTGTGACTGATATATGGCTGACAGGTGTGACTGATATATGGCTGACAGGTGTGACTGATATAGGACTGACAGGTGTGACTGATATATGGCTGACAGGTGTGACTGATATATGGCTGACAGGTGTGACTGATATATGGCTGACAGGTGTGACTGATATATATTGACAGGTGTGATTGATATGATTGACAGGTGTGACTGATATATAGCTGACAGGTGTGACTGATATATGGCTGACAGGTGTGACTGATATATGGCTGACAGGTGTGACTGATATATAGCTGACAGGTGTGACTGATATATGGCTGACAGGACTGACTGATATGACTGACAGGTGTGACTGATATATAGCTGACAGGTGTGACTGATATAGGACTGACAGGTGTGACTGATATATGGCTGACAGGTGTGACTGATATATGGCTGACAGGTGTCACTGATGTATGATTGACAGGTGTGACCGATGTATGGCTGACATGTGAGTGATATATGGCTGACAGGTATGACTGACATTTGATTGACGTATGGCTGACAGGTATAACCGACAGGTATTACTGACATATGACTGACAGGCGTGATATATGACTGACAGATGTAACTGACAGAAGTGGCTGACATATGACTGACAGGTGTGATATATGACTGACATATGACTGATAGATGTGGCTGATATATGGCTGACTGGCAGGTATGACTGACATATGACTGACAGAAGTTGCTGACATAGACTGAAAATATGAATGTCAGATGAAATATAAAAATATTGTCATTCTATTTATTTATTATTTTTCTTATTTTTGTTTGTAAATTGTCCTTGTTTATGTATAATACTTGTTTCTTATTTGCTTATTAATCCCTGCTACCATTTACACGAGAGTTGATTATAAGAATTAATGTCTGTCTGTCTGTGTCTGTCTGTCTGTCTGTTTGTCTGTCCGTTCTCCGATTTTCGCTGCATCTCATAATTATTACATGATGTGTACATAGTATTACACATGTGTACATACATAATAGTAACCGCGTGTATGTAATATTAAATTTGTGCACGTAATAATATTAATAGTGTGTACGTATTATCATGTAAGTAAGATTAAGCAAATGTACGTATATTATGTACGTAATATTAATCACCTGTATGTAATTAAATCTACCTATTTTCAATTAGCATGAAAGGCACTAACTGGACTAATTGTAGAAGCTTGTAATAATTAGTGTGTTTATATATGTACATTGATATTATAGATATGTATATACATGTTAAAATAACCATTGTTGACCTCTCGTCTTACTTGTTTATATCTGACCTTTGACCTGAAACTACTACTGGTAATTGAAGTGTTTGTAGATGTGGTTTTATTTGGTAGGAGAACAATTTTTACCTGTGATTGTTTTTATATTCGTTCTGCCTATCTCTTCTTGTTCACTCTTCACTGTTTTTATCTTTTGTTTTTCCTCTTTATTTTTTCTGTCTCACTCTGCTACCCCTCCCCCTCCTCCATTTCTCTTTCTCCGTCTGTCTTTTTATTTCGCTTACTCTGTCGCCCTCCTCTCTATCTGTCTCTCTCTTTTTATTTCTCTCTCTGTCCCATCTGTCTGTCTGTTTCTCTCTCTTTCCCATCTGTCTCTCTCTGTCTGTCTCTTTATTTCTCTTATTCTGTCGCCCTCCTCTCTATCTGTCTCTCTCTGTCCCATCTGTCTGTCTGTTTCTCTCTCTTCCCCATCTGTCTCTCTCTATCTGTCTCTTTATTTCTCTTATTCTGTCGCCCTCCTCTCTATCTGTCTTTCTCTCTTTATTTCTCTCTCTCTGTTCCATCTGTCTGTCTGTTTCTCTCTCTTCCCCATCTGTCTCTCTCTGTCTGTCTCTTTATTTCTCTTACTCTGTCGCCCTCCTCTCTATCTGTCTCTCTCTTTTTATTTCTCTCTCTGTCCCATCTGTCTGTCTGTTTCTCTCTCTTTCCCATCTGTCTCTCTCTGTCTGTCTCTTTATTTCTCTTACTCTGTCGCCCTCCTCTCTATCTGTCTCTCTTTATTTCTCTCTCTCTGTTCCATCTGTCTGTCTGTTTGTCTCTCTTTTTTCTTTCTCTCTCTCTCTCTCAGCGTGTGTTACAGTGTTAAATTGCACCTGTCAGGAATGTTATCACCAGGGGTACATCTCACCTTTGTGGTCTGTTAATAATAAACTGGACACGTGTGTGACCTTTTGACCCGTGTCAGTCATTTTTTTTGCCTGTTTGACCTCTGACCTCTTGTCATTATTTTATGCCAGTGTTGTTGTTCCCTCGTATATGACCTTTATATTGACCTTTTTGTATAAACGTGTTTGAACTGTGTTTGTTACGTGTATTATACCGGGTGTTCGAGTCACATGGTGTAAATTGCTACTCTGCTAAAAGTGAATAATCCCATGGTGTGTGACCTTTGACCTATTTGTGTTTGACCCCACAGCGGGATGACCTAGAACACCACGTGGACTGCAATGTGGTGTGCCAGGACAATTCGCGTGACCCCGTGTGCGGCACTAATGGCCAAACCTTTGACAGCATATGTGACCTCGATCGTGACATTTGTAGAAAGGTCAAGGTGAGCCTCAAGCACCGGGGCGAGTGTTCCTGTAAGTATGACCTTGTTTCTGTTGTCCACGTAAAAAAACAGTAGTAGTTGTAGTCAGTAGCAGTAGTAGTAAGTAGCAGTAAGTAGCAGTAGGAGTAAGTAGTAGTAAGTAGCAACAGTAGTAGTAGTAGGGTGGCTTTAAGGGGAGGTTGGAGGCCACGTTAAAAAATGAGTAGTAGTAGTAAATAATAGTAGTAGTAGTAATAGTCGTAGTAGTGGTAATAGTCGTAGTAGTGTGAGTTGTATTATCGTAAGTTATATAAGAAGTTGTAGTATCTTTAAATATGATTGTTGTAGTTGTAGTATTATTAGTTGTAATTTTAGTTGTTGTAGTGATTAAAGATGTAGTGTTAGTTGTAAATATTGTTGTTTTTGTTGTAGAAACTGAAGTAGTAATAGTTTTGAGCGTAATTTTGGTCGTTCTTTTAGTAATAGTTGTAGGAGTAGTTGTTGTATTATTAGTTGTTGTAGGTGTTGTAGTTGTAGCGATTGTTGCATGTATTTACGTATAAGCATTATAATTATTGTTGTTGTATTCTATATTATATGATTGATTAACCAGAATTATGTTTTCTAGGAAAAAAATGTGAAGGTTAGTGATTTTGTTCCTCCTGGGAAAAAAAAATAACGTCGATAGTGTGACGCGGTGACCTTGTTCGTCCTGGGTAAGGGAAAGATATTGTCTGGTGAGGATCAATAGTGTCGCATTTCGTCCTGGGATGATAATAACACAATGTTCACTATCATCAGCGACCTTGTTCATCCTAGAGTATAAATGAATAGTAAACGTACCTGTATGTAAGCGGTCTTATTCTTCCTAGGTTAAAAATAACGTTTAATGTTATTGATTCACGCCGACTTTGTTCGACCTCGGATAAAATATTGGCTAGGTAGACGTCAGTAGTGTTCTTATTCGCCATGGGATAACTATATTAGCAGGGAATAAGTATTTTTGTTCGTCATAGGAAAAATAGCAGTAATTCATAGCGATCTTGTTCGTCCTAGGGAAAAAATATCACTATTGCAGTATATTGCCAAGCTTGTATCGGTGCGTGCAAGTTGCAGAGCTTGTTGATGTTGCACGCCACACATGAGCCACGTTCACACGGGTCATCGCTGCTTGACGCTCTCACAACAAACACCTCGTGTGCCTCCTGCTGTGTCACTCAGGGTGTAGCACATTAGGTGTAGTCGGCGCTTAGTTACGGATTGTAGAACGCTTTGAAGTACAATAGGTTAAGTGTATCGGGATGTAGATTGCTGTTAAATACAATAGGTTAGGAGGCTGTAAAGTGCTGTTAAAATACATTAGGAGTGCAGTAAGGTCTCAAGCTGTAAATTACTGTAGACTACACTAGAGTCACTGTTATAGACTGTATAAATCTATTACAAATACATTATGGTTTACCGGCTGTGGAAACTTAATGTAGTAAATGAGGAAAAATACAGTAGGACAAAATTAACAAGGTGTAGTATGATGGCAAGGCGAGTTTATTAACGTTTATGAGTGGATGTAAAGTGTACTCGCTGGGGTCATGTACACGCTGGGGTCATGTACTCGCTGGGGTCATGTACTCGCTGGGGTCATGTCATGTGCACGCTGGGGTCATGTACAAGCTGGGGTCGTTACATGGGGTCATGCGTTAGGGGTCATGTACACACGCTGGGGTCATGTACATGCTGGGGTCATGTACACGCTGGGGTCATTTACACGCTGGGGTCATGTACACGCTGGGGTCATGTACAAGCTGGGGTCATGTACAAGCTGGGTCATGTACAGGCTGGGGTCATGTACATGCTGGGGTCATGTACACACTGGGGTGACTGCATGCCAAGGCCTCAGTGTTAATGGTTAGATGAAGTTAGGTCAGCTGGGGGACTTTTAGGAGTGTGTGTGTGTGTGTGTGTGTGTGTGTGATAATAATAATAATAATAATAATAATAATAATAATAATAATAATAATAATAATAATAATAATAATGATAAACGGTTTATTAATAGAGTTGCAGCCCGTGGCTGAAAATATGCGGACTTACATTTGATTTAGACATAATGATATAATATGCGTTGAATACATTTACAGGGCTGTACAGTACATAAATCAGGAGTTGTTTATTATTTTAACAAAGATGGGATGGTGCTATTCTTATATCTATCGGTGCGGGCTCTTATGGGCTGAATTTTGTTGTAGTGGCGGACTGCGCGAGGTGGGTGGGGGGCTGTCGGTGGCAGGAGGTGGCGATGACGAGGGTGGTGCATTAGTTGGCTGCCAAACCTTTCCAGTGCTGGTGGTGGAGATCACTGAGGGATGGCATTTCCAGGGTGGAGAGAGCATTGATGTAGCTGGAGTATTCTGCACCAAGCATGATTCTGCAGGCCCTTTTCTGTACCTTTTCTAGCCGACGTTGTTGGGTGGAGTTGAGAGAAGACTACCAGGCTGGTGACGCATACATTAGTTTGGGGAGAATAAAGGCTTTGTAGATAGCCCTCAGCTCTGGCGTGGGTGTCCCGAGAGAGAGAGAGAGAGAGAGTGTGCGTGCATTAGTGAGTGGGTGGGTCACGTCTGCACAGCCGTCCTTTTTTTTTGTAGAGAAAGGAGGGTGTGAAAGAAGATTGGAGGTGAGGGAAGGAAGTTATAGTTCGGAAATTGAAGAAATTTAGGAGGAGGTAAGAGAGGGCGGGCTGACCTCCTAGCTAAGCTAATAGTGTGTTAGGGTTGTGTAATGGGTTAGTTATTGTCTGTCGGTACAGGCACTAAACAGCCTACCCTATCCCATACATGGGTGTTTTAAGGGCCTTATTTCATTTCCGCCGACCCTACTGGCGGATGTTAGTCTAGGGAGGTTGTCTATTGCCTGGCCGTGTAGATCGGGGAGACGAAGAATATGGATAAATTCTCGACGAAGGAAGGGAAAAAAACGATGATAAGTAGAATGTAGGTAAGTGAAGGGAAGGAAGGAGGGAGGGAGGGAGGGAGGTGAAGTATGGACGAGGGAGAAAGGGCAGGAGGGAGACGGAGGTAAGGGAGGAAGGAAGGAGGAAGGGAGACGGAGTTAGGCGGGAGGAAAGGAGGGAAATGGGAAAGGGAGTGAGAGCTCTTCAATAAGGGAAGGAACTCGTAAAAATATTGTGAAAGCGAAAGATTTTCTTCCTCTTCCTCTTTTTTTTCTTCACGTAAAGACTACTGTAGACACCCCAGCTTATTTCATTTGAAGACTTAACTTAACCTAACCCAACTCAATCTAATTCAGCTTAATCTAACTCAGCTTAATCTAACTCAGCTTAAGCCTCCAGGTAGCGTTAGGGTGGTTAATCCTCAGTTAAAATAAGCTTGGGTGATTAATTTTCAAGTAATCATTAATTTAAGTACAAAGTTGTTAATTACTTGGGGATCCTTGGAGTGTGTGTGTACATACATACGTACGTACTTTACTTACTTACTTACTTACTTACTTACTTACATACATACATACATACATACATACATACATACATACATACATACATACTGTACATACATACATACATTCGATTTTAATGTCACCTGTACACATAGAAACCCTGTTAATGTCTTCTATGCACACACACACACACACACAGTCAATATCGTGCCACCTTTGAGCCCCTAAAATGACCTCTCAACCCTTCCAATTACCTGGGGGAGTTATGGTGAGTCACATAGCGTTACCTGGAGGTGCACCGCGTTCCAGGTATCCAGGTAACGTCACGACCCACCAGCCACAAACTTGCAGGGGGTCTGGTGGACGGGGGAGGGAGGAAGGGGGGGGTGGGGAGGAGGCTGACGAGTGAGGGAAGGGGGGTGGAGGAAGGATGGAAGGGCGAGGGAGGATAGAGGGAGGAAGGGTGAGGAGGAGGAGGAGGCTGGCTTGGAGTAAGGGAGGGTAGAGGGTTGGTGGGTGGGGGAGGGAAGGGAGAGGGAAGGAGTCTGCCGGGTGAGGGAGGGAAGTAGGGAGGGATGAGAGTCGTAAATAATAGCAAGTGCCTGACATTCGTTCCTCAGCTCACCTTCTTTACCTGTGACTCACTCCCTGTGGCTGGATACTTGGACTGAATCACCGGTGGATAAATTTCCCACCGGACAAAAATATCCTCAGAACAAACTTTTTAAACACCAAACAGATTTTCAACTGGACAAAAAATCTTACCGGAAGATAAGTATTCTTTCTCTGGACAAAATCACACCAGCTGACAAATTTGCCGGACAGAATCCTACCACCGGGTAAATATATTTTCCCAATGGAGAGAATCCGTAAAATAATAAATAATTAAGTACATACATTATTTCCATCTTCACCAGCTGTAGTTCCGGTTAGGTAAGGTTAGGTTAGCATTGGTAAAATTAGGTTAAATAAGGTTAGGTTGAATTAGGTTAGCTTTTTGTTGTTAGGTTGAGTTAGGTTAGCTTTTTTTTGTTAGGTTGGGTTAGGTTCGGTTCAGTAGGTTAGGTTAGGTTAGATAAATTATATATTGTTGTTTTTGTTGCTGTAGTTGTTAATATTTCTCTATAACCCCTTCCTCCTCATATGGTCAACTCTTCCATATATCTACTTTCCCCTCCCCTCTACCCTTCCATATCCACCCCCCCATGTAACCACCTCACCTCACCCCCACCTCTTCTCTCCCTCTCTCACATATCAACCTTACCTCTCTACATTTCCCCCCCCTCCCTTCCCTTTCTCTGATCCTTATCTCATATCGTTCCTCTCTGCCTACAGTGGCGGAGAAGTGCCTGGACGAGCGAAGAGCGAAGCAGGAGCAGCTAGCCAACGGAGAAAGCGTGTACGTGCCCACCTGCTTGGCTGATGGGTCGTATGCCGCGGTGCAGTGTCATAATTTCACGTCGTACTGTTGGTGCTCGAGGTTGGACGGCAAGCCTATCCCTCAGACTATCCAGAAGGAGAGATCGCCCCAGTGTGTTGGTGAGTGTGTTGGTGGAGTGTCCTGGGGTGTGTTGGGGAAGTGTGATGGGGGAAGTGTGATGGGGGAGAGTGTGTTGGGGTATGTGGCCTGGGGATTTTGAAGGGGAGTGATGGGGAGTGTGTTGGGGAGTGAAAGGGGAGTGTGTTGGGTGTGTTGGGGAGTGAAAGGGGAGTGTGTTGGAAAGTGATGGAGATGTGGCCTGGGGAGTGTAGGTGGTGTGTGTTGGGGGATGTGGTCTGGGGATTGTCCTAGGGAGTGAAGAGGGAGTGTGTTTTGGGAAGTGTGTTGTGGTGTGGCCTGGGGAGTGTAGATGAGTGTCTTGGGAAGTGTGTGTGTGTGTGTGTGTGTGTGTGTGTGTGTGTGTGTGTGTGTGTGTGTGTGGTAATGTATCATGGGTGTAAGGTAAGTGATATTAGGAAATCAGTATATCATGAGGATTAGGGAAGAGTGTCAGGGATTAGGGAACGTATACTTGTGTGACCTCCTCTCCCCCCCCCCTCCTCAAGTGGTATATTTGAGAGAGAGAGAGAGAGAGAGATTATTAAACCATATATAGTAATATTTCCAATAATTACATAACTTGAAAGGTGAAAAAAAAATAGTTCCCTTAATATTGATTTAGAAAGTAACTGCTTTGTTTGGATAATTCAACACCACTTAATACTTACTTATGAACCCTTAACCTTGTACTTATACGATACACTTAAAAAAAAAAATTTAATTTGTTTTATTGTGTTTGTTTGTGTACTTAAAAAAAAAACATTGGCAATGATATGATCTTGTTGGAGTGTACTTTAGAGTGTACTTAACCTAGATAGAAGAGTGTTTTAGCTTTCTTAAAAAAAGTGTCTTGGCCTTAGATATGATTTTCAAGGATATAATGTTTGTTTGTTTGTTGTTTCATGATTGACTAACCATCCTAATTACAGTGAGTTTTTTTGTTTCCCCCCTTTTTTTTTGTTTACCTTCCCTTTTCCTGCCCCCCTTTTTTTTATCCTTGTTCTTGTTTGTTTCTTAATCTTTTTCATTCTTTTTCTTTCTTTGTATTTACTGTATTCTCTTTTACTCTTTTCTTTCATTTCTTCGTCGTTTTCTTTGGCTGCTGTTGGTTCTTCATCCTTGTTCTGTTTTCCTTCCTTCCTTCCCTCCCCCCTTCCTCCACTCTTCTAATCCATTACATCTTCCGCTTTCCCTCCCTCATCTCTCATTCCTCTCTTCTTTCTTTCCTTCATCTCTTTTGCCTCTCCTTTCCATACCCCATCTCTTCTCATCTTCTTCTCCTCCTTACCTCTGCTCTTTCTCTTCCCTTCCTTTATCCTGCTCCCGTCTTGTCTCTCTCTTCTCTCTCCACCCTAAATCTTCTTACTCCTACTCCTCCTCTTCTTGTTTCTCCCATTACTTCCTTCTCCTCCTCTTTCTATACATCCTTCCCATTTCTCCTTCTCCTCCTCCTTCTCCTCCTTCTTTACCTCCCCCCCCCACTACCTACATCATCTACCCTCCTCCTCTTCCTCCTCCCACCAACAACCTCCCATCCCCCTTACCTCCTTCACCCTCTTCCCTACTACAAAACAACCTCCATCCCTACCACCCCATTTTCCCCAGAAGATCGGACGAGCCCCCCAGCGCCGGAGTCACCCCCACAAGGCAAGTGGACCGGGGTAGTTGGTGAGGAGCCGGGGGTACAGGCAGTTCAAACACTCATGTCCCTCTCGACCGCCAAAGCCAGCACAGCACGCCCTCGCCCACGCCCGCCCCAACCTGGCCCCAGTGCGTCTCTACCCCTCTTGACCGTGCGTCGTGTCTCCCCCTCCCTCTTCAGTATATATATATAAATACATATATATATATATATATATATATATATATATATATATATATATATATATATATATATATATATATATATATATATATATATATATATATATATTCACAATCACCACCACCGCACCCAAAGATCTCTGTCTCTTTCTCTGTCTTTCTATCTTTGTCTCTTCTTCTTATATATATCTCTCTCTCTATCACTCTCTCTCTTTCTCACCTTGTAGCACTTGATAGTCTTACTGCATCTAAGATCTCTCTCTCTCTCTCTCTCTCTCTGTAACACTATCGTCTCACCGCACCCTATATATCACTAGCACTGTCTCACTGGCACTCTTTATGTTACTAGCACTGTCTCACTGGCACTATGTATGTCTCACCGGCACTATATATGTCTCACCGGCACTACCTATGTCTAACTTGTATTCTTTGTTTCACTGGCACTACCTATGTCTCACTGGCACTATCTGTGTGTGTCACTCTCTTACTGGCACTATTTCTCACGGACACTCTTTTACTTAACACACACTCACTGTTGGAGAGCATCACAACACCATCAGTGTTATTTTTCATAATTGTTTCTCAAAAGCATCTGATGTGCTGTACATTCTTGATACTGTCTTTGTCTGTCTGTCTGCTTGTGTGTTTCGTTCTTCGTCTGTCTGCAGTTCATCATTTCACTATTTTCTTTCTCTCAGTGTCTCTCTTTCCCCGAATTTTTGTTTTTCTTCCCATCTTCTCTCTTTCAATCTATTGTCTCTACAGGAAAAACATTCTCTCTCTCTCTTTCTGTCTCTCCTTTCTCTCTCCCTCTGACACAACACAGGTTTGCTCTCCCTCTCGCTGCATGCTGCCTGTCACACGGCACTTGTTGTCAACTTGCGAATGAAAACAAGTAGATTGAGATGATGTAGTGCCGCACGTCAGCTGAACTTGGCCCGTTCTCGTCACCACCAAAGAAAACGAAGCTTGTCGACCGATAACCATTTTCTATGACAGCTACCCCCCTCCCCCTCCACCCCCCCCCTCTCTAGCAGCCTCATGATTGGCCAAGTAGTGTAGATGTGAGCGGAGCCAAGGACAGCTAGGTAGATGTAATGTGCATTGTGATTGGCTACGAAGTACTGGTAGGCGGAGTCTAGCACCGCTTGTTGCTGACGTGTGTGCATCGTGATTGGCTGTGGTTTCTTGATGGGCGGAGCTAAAGACGGCTCATGTCAACACAAGAGTGTATTGTATTTTACGTTTGCATGATAAAATACAGTGTCATCAAAAACGAATACCCAGATTTTAATATACAACCCTCTAGAAATCCGGGTATTCTTTTTTGGATCACCCTGTCTATAAAACACGAAAAATATTGTTACAGGTTATAAAGAAAAGCAAAAGGATTAATTATTCTAGATTTTACCTCTGCATTGAATTTTAAATTTTTTTTTTTTTGTAATGAATGACGAGAATATTGATAAAAGATGATGAAGAAAACAAACTATTGATCTTTGTTAAATTTGGTCTTGTTTTCGTCCAGGAGTCTGTGAGGTGGTAAAGTTTCTGTGATGGCTTAGGGAAGGAAACAGTGGAGGAAGATGGAAAGGGCGCCCCGCCTGTAGGAGGAGGAGGAGAGAAAGGAATAGGAAGATGAGGGAGAAGAAGAGAAGTGGATGCTAAGGCGAAGAAGAGGGAAAAGGAAATAAGGAGAGGGAGGGTTGAGATAGAGTAGAATATAATTGGAAGGAGAATGGGAAGGAAGGGAAATATATGAGAAGAATCAAAAGAGAAAATAAGTAGAGGAGAAGAGGGAATAAAAGGAGAAAACAGGATCAAGAGGAAAGAAAAGGCAGTAGGTTTTGCTAAGGTCCAAAGAGTTTTAAGAATAAGTTAGATATTTGTCAAGTGAAGGAAGGTTAGGTTAATGTTAAGTTAGGGTTAGGTTAGGTTAAGTTAACTTAACTTAACTTAGTTTGGGTTAGGTTAGATTATGTTGAGGATAAATCATGGTATAGGTTAGGGTAGCGTTTGGGTGTTTAATCATGAGGCGAAATAAGCAGGTTTGGGGGGAGGGGGAGGGGAACTTTCCTGTGATTCCAGGATTCGACTATTAGGCAAAATGGAAGTGAGGCGTATCTTCTTCACTTGTTTCTGCCCACACAACAGTACCTGGATGATAAACCCATTGACGGAACGTGTCTTTAAGCAGTGAGGGATAAGGGGCTATAGCTAGATTAAAGATTAGCTAGTGCAGGTGTCGAGATGTCCGAGTTCTTGGACTTATAATACCCTGTTACCTCATGGCCTCACAGACTTGTTAACTCAGGTGTGTGGTTGTTGTGACGGCGGCAGTGGTCATGGTTCCTGGGTGGTGGTCATCCTGTAAGACGAGGCCCGGTTATGGTGTTGCCTCGAAGGATGTTTTGTGTTTTAAGAATATCGAAATTTACTTAAAAAAAGTATATATAATTTTTTTGTAATTTAAATTTCATCAGGCAAAAAAATATGGAGGAAAAACTTGATCAATTTACTTTTTTATTTATTTGTTGATGTGTGTTTGTTTGACTGTTTGTGTGTTAATTGTTTGCTTTTAGTTGTGCTTTTTTATGTTTGTCTATACTTCTTGTTTACACTATGCTTCTAAGTGATCGTTTGCTTTATGTGTTTACCTCATGTTGTTTTGCTTGTATTGGTGTATTTGTTTTTTTTACTCGTTTTGTTTTTTGTGTTTGTTTGTTTGTTTGTTTATTTGGTGTTTGTGCTTGTGTTAGTTATCCTGCACCTGCATGTTTAACTGTAGTTTAATAGCTTAGATAATTAGTTAGCTGCATGTGTTTGTTGTTTCTGCTTGAGTGTGTCTGTGTGTGTGTCTGTATGTGTATTAGTGAAACATGTCTTTGTGTTTCATTGGTCAGAAGTTGTTACTGTGGTTGATGTTTTAAAGTATTGACTGTTTCACTGGTTAAATGGTGTTTCAGTCGTTAAATGGTGTTTCGATCGTTAAATGGTGTTTCGTTCGTTAAATGGTGTTTCACTGGTTAAATGGTGTTTCAGTCGTTAAATGGTGTTTCACTGGTTAAATGGTGTTTCGATCGTTAAATGGTGTTTCACTGGTTAAATGGTGTTTCGTTCGTTAAATGGTGTTTCGTTCGTTAAATGGTGTTTCAGTCGTTAAATGGTGTTTTGATCGTTAAATGGTGTTTCAATCGTTAAATGGTGTTTCAGTCGTTAAATGGTGTTTTGATCGTTAAATGGTGTTTCAATCGTTAAATGGTGTTTCAGTCGTTAAATGGTGTTTCAATCGTTAAATGGTGTTTCAGTCGTTAAATGGTGTTTCAATTGTTAAATGGTGTTTCGTTCGTTAAATGGTGTTTCGTTCGTTAAATGGTGTTTCGATCGTTAAATGGTGTTTCAATCGTTAAATGGTGTTTCGATCGTTAAATGGTGTTTCGATCGTTGAATGGTGTTTCAATCGTTAAATGGTGTTTCGATCGTTAAATGGTGTTTCGATCGTTAAATGGTGTTTCAATCGTTAAATGGTGTTTCAGTCGTTAAATGGTGTTTCGATCGTTAAATGGTGTTTCAATCGTTAAATGGTGTTTTGTTCGTTAAATGGTGTTTCGTTAAATGGTGTTTCGATCGTTAAATGGTGTTTCGTTAGATGGTGTTTCGATCGTTAAATGGTGTTTCGTTAAATGGTGTTTCGTTTGTTAAATGGTGTTTCGTTCGTTAAATGGTATTTCGTTCGTTAAATGGTGTTTCGTTCGTTAAATGGTGTTTCGTTCGTTAAATGGTGTTTCAATCGTTAAATGGCGTTTCAATCGTTAAATGGCGTTTCAGTCGTTAAATGGTGTTTCAATCGTTAAATGGTGTTTCGATCGTTAAATGGTGTTTTCGTTAAATGGTGTTTCAATCGTTAAATGGTGTTTCAATCGTTAAATGGTGTTTTCATTAAATGGTGTTTCAATCGTTAAAATGGTGTTTCGTTAAATGGTGTTTCAATCGTTAAATGGTGTTTCAATCGTTAAATGGTGTTTCGTTTGGTGTTTCGTTAAATGGTGTTTCAATCGTTAAATGGTGTTTCGTTAAATGGTGTTTCGTTAAATCGTTAAATGGTGTTTCGTTAAATGGTGTTTCGTCGTTAAAATCGTTAAATGGTGTTTCGATCGTTAAATGGTGTGGTGTTTCGTTTGTTAAATGGTGTTTCGTTAAATGGTGTTTTCGTTAAATGGTGTTTCGTTCGTTAAATGGTATTTCGTTCGTTAAATGGTGTTTCGTTCGTTAAATGGTGTTTCGTTAAATGGTGTTTCGTTAAATGGTGTCGTTCGTTAAATCGTTAAATGGTGTTTCGTTCGTTTCAATCGTTAAATGGGCGTTTCAGTCGTTAAATGGTGTTTCAATCGTTAAATGGTGTTTCAACCATTAAATGGCGTTTCAGTCGTTAAATGGTGTTTCAGTCGTTAAATGGTGTTTCAATCGTTAAATGGTGTTTCAATCGTTAAATGGTGTTTCAATCATTAAATGGTGTTTCAATCGTTAAATGGTGTTTTGATCGTTAAATGGTGTTTCAATCGTTAAATGGTGTTTCAATCGTTAAATGGTGTTTCAATCGTTAAATGGTGTTTCAATCGTTAAATGGTGTTTCAGTCGTTAAATGGTGTTTCAGTCGTTAAATGGTGTTTCAATCGTTAAATGGTGTTTCAGTCGTTAAATGGTGTTTTGATCGTTAAATGGTGTTTCAATCGTTAAATGGTGTTTCAATCGTTAAATGGTGTTTCAATCGTTAAATGGTGTTTCAGTGTTATTATCTGTTGTAGTGACTCTAGCTTATTCATTGTAAGAGCCATTCAGTGTAATATGTTTCAGTGTAATATATCTATTTCATTGTATTAATAGCTGTTTCAGTGGAATATGTTTCAATGTAATAGCTGTTTCGGTTCATAGTTTCAGAGTATTAG